CACCTGGACATGTCTCCAGTCCATCACAGGGACACCTGGACATGTCTCCAGTCCATCACAGATCTCTAGAAGTCTGGACTGGAAAACAAACCTGATCAGACAGAAGAGCACAATGCACGTAAGGAGGAACCACAGAGGCTGAACTTTAAGAGACACTAACGAGACAACGATGAACACCTGGGGGGGGGGGGGGGGGTCGTGAACAGGTGAAGCTGAGGGGAGCAGGAGGTGCAACATGAAGGAGAAGCACCGGAGGAGCTGGACACATGAGTTCAACAGACTCAGAGAAAACTCAACAAGAACCACAAGAAGACCAAAGAGAAACACACCATCCTGACACCAGGAGACTCACGGGATTACAAACAAACAAACAAACAAACAAGCAGATTAGCAGAAACCTAATCCTTCAGGATTATGACAGACTGAACACATTTAGTGTCTCTGTGTTCCTGTGAGCTGTAGGAAAATCTGTTTGCACATTAATCAGAAATAAAAGACACAAATCAGATTATTAGAACAAATTAAACAAGAACTTACATTTATATTTAAATAATCCCTCAGGAGGTTTGGTTCTGTTTGTTTCAAGGATTCAAGGTTCTTTATTTAATCTGTGTTTCACACTGAGAAAAATCATTTACATTTTCTTCAGAGTGCATGTTTATCAGTACTGTTACATAAAAAACTGGGATTTACAGTCAAATATAATCTAAATGTCATAATAATAAAAACAAGGTATGTGTTTTTTTTTGTTAGTTTGTTTAAGATGTTGTGTGTTTTGGAACAGAATCATATAAATGAAGTTTATATTTTATATTAGAAGTATTTCTTTACAAAGAACAGAGGAACATCTTTTCGTCACTCCCAGTCTAAAACCCAGTTTTTCTCATTTCACCTCTCATTGCTCTCTCAAATCGAACTCTGTTTAATCTACATTTTACGAGCGTGTTGCCTGGATTGGGTGAAAAAGCTGCAGTTAATGTTCGGAAGAGATCGTCTCTCGATTCATTTGGAGTTTGTCTCTTCGAGCTCAACATTCCCTGATGTGCCTGTTCGGTCTTGTGCGTTTATCTCTGGTCTGATCGTTGTGCAGCCGTCGTTCTTTGTTGAAACTGAGAGATGTCTCAATAAAGTGGCTCAGAACAAAACAAGCTTCAGCTCCCACGTGACTGAATGAGATTATTTCAGTCGTGAAACTCTGCCTCTGTGAAGGACTGCTGAAAACAACGAGCTCTACGCTGATGATGCCCCCCTGCGCTGAGGGGTTTAATGTTTGTAGTTTTCCACATGAGTGTTTTTCTGAACAAAGAATGAAAGTAAATGTTTTGGAGGAAGTTATCGCCCGTGGGTACGAGTAAGTTAATCTAAGTTGTTTGTTGTTTTGTGTTTCCAGTTCCCTCCTCACTTTGCAATGGAGGACAATAACTGTAATACAAATGAACAGCAGTGTAAAGAATTTTAAAATGAAATTTGAATAAAGGCGGCGCGGTGGTTCAGTTGGTAGAGCTGCTGCCTCTCT